ATATATATATATATATACACACATATATATATACACATATATACATATATATACATATATATATACATATATATACATATATATACACACACATATTGTCTGAAAAGTGGAATTTATTTCCATTGTAAGTCTGGTCTTTGTCTCTATGAAAGGAAAGGTCTATTGAACCCCATTGACTCCGTTACAGCACTATTTATTAGAGTTCAAAATGTCAGTGTCTACCCAAAAGACACTGTATCACAACTATATTTGATCATAGAACTGCTTTTATCCTGGCATCTCAGAGGTTGCAGTTTGTCACAAACGTAACATAATGCAAAGTTATGTAACGCAACGTGAAAGCCAACACTAGTGATTTACATTGACATTGTGATTTACAATCCCACAATCACGAGCTTCATTAAGCTGGGGGAAAAAAAAAAAACTGAAAACACTGACATCGGTCGTTGGTTTTGGGTTCAGACGAACCAGGACGCCTTACCTTATTTCATTAGGCTCAGTGCTGGACTGCTGAGCACCCACTAGATCCTGTGGTAGCAGGCAGCCCTTTGCCGTGCTCCATGACAACCTCTGAAGCTCATGAAGGATGACTGCTCCACATGCTTCAAGGTCCTCGTCATTCAAGCCCGCTCCACGGTTACAAAGGCTGTCCAATATATAGAGAGCAGTCAGCTATTGCCATGGAGCCCCGGGCTCAGGCGGGTCAGGAGCACATGGAGTACATCCAGCAGCTGCTAACACTTCACACACGCAGTATACAAGCATGATCATACACACCAATGCACATGCACACTTGCTCACATAATATCACAGCAAGACTAAACATTAGACTGAGGGTCGTGACACGAGATGGCCACTCTCTTCACGAGTGGAGATTTTGTTGACATCATTTACAGCACTCGTGTTTGCATAGAAGGGGATAAGTGTAAACTGGGTTTAAAAAGGAAAGAGGAGCTTTCATTTCCCAGACATTTATCCGTACTTTACGACAAGAACTCCAATTATGGTAAATTAATCATGCTATGAAATATAAAAAGGCTTATGAAAAATAAGCCCAGTCTAATGAAACACATTCTCCATCCTCCATCTCCCTGACTTCCAATAACAATTCAATGGGGCGGTTACTATAACAATCCCATGCGTTTGAAAACCTCTCAGAAATAAAGACGTGTGCATGTTGGTGATGACACTTCATCTAAAGTGAGAGCCCTTGGCAGACGGATAATGTTTTCCCCGTCTGCACAAACCACTCCATGGCCGTCAAATAAATACACACAGCATTCCGTTTGGGGGGGGGGGGGGGGGGGGGGATAAGATTGTAGAAGTCGAAGTCGGAGGAAAGACAGGAAGGGTGTACCTGATAATTCTATTGAGTTGTCTTCCATCAATCGAAGAATCCGCGTACACACTGGTCCGTTCGCCGTGGAGTCGTCCTTCGATGTTGTCGAGCAGATTAAAGAATCCTTCCTGGCGGAGACTAAATACAGATTACCCATTAACGTGGTGAGAAGAAATACAAATGGAGGCCAAGTGATCGATTATCCTGCTATTTGTAGGTTAAAGGGAGAAAAATAAAAGAGGATTCACTTTGATCTGAAAGTCAGTGATGCGTTTTTCCAGGCAATTTCCTTGAGGGACAGTACTCAAGGACTGCTGGAGGAATCTGATCATTAGTACCTCATCATGGTACCTCCACATAACAGGACTTTTCAAAGCACGCCGATGATGCCACATGTAGCGACAGGTTGTGTGAGCTTGTAGAACTAGCTGCCGGCTGTTAAAGTAGAACTTTAAATAAGCTTTTATCAGTTAACTTCATCATAAATATGTAATATTATTATACAAAATAATGAAAATATTAATATTACTACCACCACCATCTCACATTAAAAGGGGAAAAAAAAAGTTCCAAAAAAAAGGGGCCTCAAAATGACTTCTTTTGGTTAGAGATTTACACTTTAATCTGGTCCTGTGTGAGGCTGCAAAATATTGGGAATTCATCTCTTTCTTGCGCATTAAGCTCTGGGTGGCCTTCATTCAATTCTCCCATGAAACCCCAAGCCGAGAGATCCTGAGCCCCCCTACATAAAAGGGGCCAAAAAGAATTTATGACAATCTGTAATGGGCTCCTGGGTTAGGGGTCAGCAAACAATTGCTCCCTCTTTTTTGCAGGTTGTTTCCTGGTAACATCCTGATTAAGCTGGCAGCTTGAATAATATCCATGACATTCTGTAGTGTGCAATCCGTCTGTGCTAAGTCCTCTTCAGTGAGGCTGAAGTAGCATAGGCAAAAGCTCCATCTTTTTTTTTTTCTCTCTCTCTCTCTCTCTCTCTCTCCCTTATCATCAGCATGGGCATTGAAATATTCATCTTTCTTTTTTCCACTTTATTTATCAACGCTCTTCAAAAAGAGACCTTTAGAGAGGGAGAAAGTGAATTAGTTTGTTTTTTCTGCAAAACCTCTCTCTCTCTCTCTCTCATTGTATTGTCGCCAGCTTTCATGTCAAGGTCCCCAACCTCACTTTAGATGCTGCCGTTGTCCACGCGTCGACATCATCAGGGGCGCATTGTTAGCTAGGAGGCAGAGGTCAGCCTCGCTGCAGCGATATTGGTCTGCAGCGTACAGTACGGGCTCCGCTGTGATTTATCACACGGAATGGTCTCATTGTTGAGTGATTGGTGTCAGAAAGATCTCCCCTTGCTGGCACAGACGGCAAATATATCACAAAGGAATGGAAAAATGTGCCACAAGTAAGAACACTTTGAGTGCAGTGGTACATTTGGGATATGTCCCACCACACTGTGAGCACGCAGTTTACAAAAGTACTGTGTGGCAATGTGCAATAACTTCACAGAGACGAGATAAACCCAGAGAAACCTACTGAGAAATCTTTGTAAAACAAAGAAATTAAAAGTAATGCCCTAATGACATTGCAGAACGTTTAAATCATTTTAAAGCCTATATAGCTTACGTTCCATCTCTCGACTTGAACTGGATTTTTTTGTGTGGCGTTCTTGCCACCAATGAGGCAGAACCATCCTGCAGTTCAGGGACGACATATTTGAGAGCAGGACACAGTGGGACCATTATGATGAGTCTGGAAGAAAAGACCTGGAGGATATTTCAGTCATGTACCCTCACTCACCCCAGCCATGCTGGAGGAGAAATATAATGGGATAATCTAATGAATTGCCAAGGCTTGTTTTTCCTGACTGTGAGCTGAATGGAGGGAGCGAAATAAACTCTAACCTTAAGAGAGAGCGAGGGAGAAAGAGAGGGAGAGGACAGAGCCTGGATGCTCTCTGAGCTTTACATCAAAGCCTCTGGTTTTCTCCTCATACACAGAAGCCCTTCGTGTTAACAATGAAAGCTGCAGCCCCCACCATCGTCTCCCCGGTGGAGGCTAACTGCAGCTCCTCTTGAGGTCACACTATGAACAGTATAGCAGACCACACAGAAACACATGTCACCAACATGCTAAACTTGCAGGGGAGAAAATAAAATCCAACTTTTGAACATGTCTTTACAACACACTCGAAAAATGCTCAGAAATATTGTGTTTGCTTTGAATAGCATTATTGTGAGCATATGTGCAAGTGGGTACTTCATCGAACAAATAAAATGTTGAATGGTAAACAAGCATAATGTACATAATCCAAGGACAGGAACAACAGGAAAAAAGGGACTGTCCCTGAGAATATGGTAAAGGTGAATATGCATAACAAAAATACTGTGTATTGTAGGGCAATTGAAGAAGCTCTGGGCGCAAACATTCACACAGGATTTTCTGTGGCTCTAACCCCATCCAAAATTATCCTTCAACTCAGAGGCCATCATCACGCTAAGGATGTGTGGCTGTAAGTGCTGTCCACATGCCCACCCTCCAGAACACTCTATGGTGCCACAAATTTCCTCCTCCACTGGGGACTTCCTGAGGTCTCTCAAGCAGAAAATTGCTCTGTTACAGCATTATCTTGGATTATGGCAATATTGTTGGTGACAGGTCCTGAGCTCTCCCTATAAGATGCATCACTGCCACCACCACAGCCGCCGCTGAGCCCCATAGAGCATGGCGGCATGGACCGTGACTCCCACAATCCCCTCTGTCAGCCTCTGATGTGATGGTGGCAAGGACTGTGCGGTGTCTTCACCTGCTCCTATCACTAACAGCCCTCTGTGGTTCAGCGTGGCTGTGCAGAACATTCTCCTTTCCCAGCTTGCTTAGCCTTAAATCTTAGGGGGGTGAGAAAGAAACACTGACTGTGTTTGTGCGCCTTTTAGGAAGTGTGCTGCCATAAAGCAATTTGTTAGTGTTTTTCTTCCACATCCACTTCCAGACAATGTACAGACGTCACACATACCGTACCTTTCCAATGTCCCCACTGGAGCTGAGGATTCACAGTTTAACTGTGGTGTGTTCTTGAACCCGTCGGAGTGGAGGGATGATTCAGGGCTGCGCCTATTGTGATCATCGCTCCCTCCAGAAGTGACTTTCCTCTCAGGTGCCACACCCTCAGGCGGATCCTCTTCCAGCTCAGATTGTGTCAGCGAAATGGACAGGTCACTAACACTGCTCTCCGACAACTGCACATCGGAGCTCGGTGTGCTGACGCTCCCGCGTATACCTGAATGTTAACACATGAAATATTTAAGTCAAGGCGGTAAAAAGATACTACGAGGTAATAAGCGAGCGGATAGCATTGCAAACCTGTTATATCCTGAGCTTCTTTTCCCAAAGTGGTTTGAGGCATGAAATGGCTGCGACCTCGCTCTCCGTCTTCCATTACGGCTGGCTGATGAGCCACCTCTCGGGAGTCAGTGTGTTCTGCAGGGGAATCGTCAGCCTTCATGAGTCTACTGCTGCTGGGAGACGGACTCTTCTCAGGCCGCGTCAAGGTCACCAGAGGTGAAGGTTCTTGTTCATCATCACTTCCGAAAGGCGCTTTGCCAGCTGCGCCTGTTAAGGCACAAATGGACGGAACAGATGGGAGCGCCGCCATCGTTCTTTCATGTTTGTCACTCAAATTACAGCCGTCGGGGGAATCGTTTGAGCCTGAAATGTCATCTGATAAATGTGCTCGGTTGCTGGCAGCATCCTCTCCGCCAACTCTGAAGTCCTTCAAAAGGCCACTTGGTAGACGTTCGCGGGAGTGCAAGCTGCGATTGGGTGAACGATGCAATGCTTGGTGTGAGTGTACACTTGTGGTGCCAGCTTCAGCGTCAGACCCTCCGGAGGTCTGGCGGCCCATAAAAATTACCGCTGGTGGTTGTTTAAAATCCCTAGCTGGGTTAGAGAGGGAGCTGTCCTGGTGCTGTATAGACACAGCTTCATCCTGCAAATATAGGAGAAGAAAAAAAATAAATAAATAAAAATCGATGAAATATATACATTTTTTGGCAACACAATTCCAATTACATTGTAAAAATAATATTTGTAAATAAATACAATTTTCGAAGACATCAAATTTCTTGCTTAGGTTGAATAAGCCTATTTTGAAAGATATTCGAGTATGTTAACATCCACTTTACGGATTTGAATAAGTATCTTATTTGGGCCAAGGTCAGAATTCTTTTCACAACATCTTTCAGAAGAATGTCTCAGGATCAATGTTTTAACTTTTCATGTTATTAGAAATCCTTTAGACAAGTTTTGATTCATGTCTGCAATGTCACCAAGGGGGTGGGGGTGGGGGGGGGGAGTGAAGCAAAAAAAAGCCTCCCTCCAAACGTAATAACAAAAAGCATGGCTTCTGTTTCTTTTCTGATAAGCGTCTTAAATACCAAACAGTTAGCTGCTTAATAACATTCCCTGTAAACCATGCAGCCTTGCCCAGCAGATCCACAAAGTAGGTAAAAAAAAAAAGAAAAAGAAAAAAGAGGAAAAGTTAATTTCTTGGCTGAGTGATTCCATCGGTAGCTGCAGGGCAAAGTAGAAAGTGTTTCACTAAAGTAGCAATTGATTCTTCTATCAATCTGCGGCACGCGTGTGCTCTTCCAAGGAATGTATTAAATATGAAAATCATATCCCGTTATCATCTGTCTCCAGCTTTCAGCCCGGTAAGCTTCCCTTAATGAATGCTGCAGCCTGAGGGACATGCACACTGCCAGCCAATGGCTTGTATGCATAATGGAGTGACGGTACCATTTTGCTCATTACAATATCGACAGGCTGACGGGGGTTTTTGCACACAGTTACAAGTGACTGCTCTAGACGGCATGCTCCAAGTTATTATGAGATGTCTTAGACATTTCATCTAAAAGAGCTTTAACTGCTTTAAGTGAAGGGAGAAAGCAGCTATGGACTTGAACTACATCGCTTGTACAGATGCACCAGCTAGGATTAGACACCTGTGCTACTGCAGATACACAGTTTAAATGTAGACTCCTCTACAGATTTACCAGGCATAATGTCTACTTGCCTTTGTTATTCTGAACCTGAAAACATAGCTTGATAGAACTGAGATTTGCATAAACATTTAAAAAAAGAAAAGAAGGTTCCAACAATTTAAAAAAAGCAAGTGCTACATAAGAAAGTATGTGTAAAAACACACAGGCGCATAAACACAGTACACGTGTAAAGTACATGATGTACAAATATGCTACTTCTAAACCTGAATGCTATTCAACTATTACCATACTAATAGTTTATGTCGCAGATATTTGCATTACCGTTGCTGCATCAAGCCCTTTCCCTATATTCTTCTTTGCTTCCATAAATCTGGCAATCTTTTTGAAAACGTCAGCCTGTAAGAGATGTAAAGACAGAATGATACGGAGATAAGAGTAAGATAAGAGCAGAAAAGTGACAGGAGGATGATAGACATAACATTTAACTGACGGTGTGACAGGCAAACCCCACTCTTCGTGCAAACACTAGGAATCGTCTGTTAAAACGCTGCGATAGTGTTGTAGAATATTATCTGCATGTGGTGTGAAAGCAGAGGTGACAGCATCGAGCATCAGTCAATCGCAGCGGGGTTTTTCCCAAGCGAGTGTCCTCTGTGTGGCTGCTGACACCCTTTAACATTTATCTGACCGGCCACAGACTAACTTACTGCCTTAATCCCAACTCCAATTAAAAAAAGCTAATGGCCATTTGAAGGGCACTTGGATTAGCTCAAACATGCCAGACCTTTTCATCAGAACAATGGCAGTTTACAGAAGCAGACCATTTAAAAAAAGGCCGCTTTCATGAATTCTCATTTGCCCACTCTTGTTTTTAAATGTTAACCAATACTAAGAAAGATTACACTGAAATTGTCATAAATGTATGCACCTAGCTTCACTTTACTCCCTGTCCATTTGAGGAATTTATGGTTTTCAACGCACCGAAAACATTTCGACAACAAAATTCAGGGTGACTTTAGACAATGGAAACAACGAGCAACAGGACCACCAAAATAACAACAGACATGTAGGACTCATAAAGCATCAAGAGGAAATAAACCAACTGCTTGAGGGGAGAGAATGACTAAACCTCTGGAGCACTTCAGAGTCTCTATATTGGGCAATTAACTCAGCGAGTCATAATTAGCCAATTTTGTTAATTTGATATTAAGCTGTCAAGCACTGTCGTTGAGTTTTAAGTGATAATCTGACTCGCTCATTGTTTTCCCCCTCGTTCATTTGCTTGTCGTGATAAATTGCACAGTTTGAGTGTTTACTGTTGTCACATCAAGCAATTGCAAGCAACTATTACTACTCTGTGTTAAATTACAGCACGGCATTAAGGCAAATGTGCATCCAACACATGCTATAATAATTAATATACATTCCTTACATAATTCTATTTTATTGTGGGTCTGTGAGTTTATTGTTCTTATTCTAAAGTCATGGTGTATTGTGTACAAATGTTTTTTTTAAACACACAGTATTCCAAAAATTAATAAACAATTAAATGCAATAAAATATTTTAGAGAAAAGTAAAATTTTGGAAAACTGTATAAACCTTGTAGGCAGGGTGTTTGAGAAAAACTATTCCACTGAACAAATAAAATGTGTGTGTGTGTGTGTGTTATACCTTTTGTTGTTGCAGGGGACAATGGTCAGGACTATATTCCTTCATGCTAATTTCTATGCACTCCACATCTCTCAGAAGCTCAAGGTTTCTCATTTTTGCTCGCGCTCCCCTGTCACAGATTTCCTTGAGATAACTGCGCAGTTTGGAACGCTTTATCTGTGAGCTGAAGGCAGTGGAGAACTATTATTCAAAAGAAATATTATCTAGGAACATTGTCAAAAAATAAGAGCTAGACTTTTCAGAGGAAAAAGGTTAAGCACAATACGTTTTAAATTTAAATCTTATTCTCAATTCTCCTATCAGCTGTTTCGACCCAGCACATTATTATTTATGAGAATCAATTTACGATGAAAACAGGCTGTTCAGCTTACATCCAAAAGGTGCAATGTGCTTGTAACACTCTCTCGCTCTCTCTCTCACACACACACACACACACACACACACACTCACACACACACACACACACACACACACACACACACACACACACAACTGTGGTGATATTGTTTATAACAATTCAGATGAACACAAATGCCAGTGCCTACTCCAAATAAAAATACAAAACTGACTATGCATCTATACAGAATATACTGTATGTATACCCATTAAACATACGTATAAATTGTAAATTTGCAAAACAAATACCTATAGGGATCTCTACTTAAATGTCTCATAAATCAAAGTTATAGCTTAATATGAAAGTCAAATCATAAGAACAAGGTATGGTAAGTCAGGGTATAAGAACGATATATGTATTGATATACAGTAAATCTGTATAACTTACATTCTATTATCGGATCTGGAGTAAGCAAACAGTTCCCTCTCCAGCTCCAGCCTCCGTTTCTCCCTGCACACACAAGTCAGGGGAACTGTCACCCGTGGTTTGCTTGGCTAATTAATGGATAATTAGCAGCAATATTAACGGTACTTACCTATGTAACGTTACTTGTTAACAATTTGTAATGCATATGCTAATGTTGACATGCAAATACGCTATGTTACATAATATCAGCTAACAGTGCATGCGTATGTTATTGTTGATACACTGTACGAATTAGCTAATGCTAACTCCATACAAACAAGCGCGAGCATTAGTTTCGGGGTAACTTGGCTAATATGTGGATGTGGATATGTGGATGTTTCACGGTTCATGTCAGGTTAGCTTTTCATTCATCTGCATGCAAGAACAGCCGCAGCAGTACTGCTGTTAGCTAGAGAAAGCGCCCAAAGTAAATAGACTACCGTGACTTCGCTGGTTAGCTAAGTAGCTAGCCTGCTCCCTCCTTGTGGGAAGCGGCAGGAGGAGGCTACCGGGCGGTAGAGATCAGAACTCGAGTCCGCGGTCTCTACCAAGCCACGTCCCGTCAACGAAAAAGAGGGAAAGCTCACCTGTTATGCATGATTTGTTGGATCGATGTTATCTTCTCATAATACTTGTCATCGCTGCGAGCCATGTTTGCCATTTTCGTCCGCTTTGGCGCTACTCCAGAGCCGAGACGAGGGAGAGGAGGTGGAGGAAGTCGGCCGGTGTTTACATTGGTTACCATGAGCACCACTTCCCAGAAGTCCCTGCTGATTAAAAACAGAGAACACGTGGTGCGAGTACGGGCGGGAGCCCCCTCGTTACTTCCGTTTTAAAAGTTATTTGTACATGGTAGAGCTATGCTGTTTACGACAAAAAAAAGTGGTTAAAAAAAAAAAAATGTTTCGGGTAAGAAAAACTAGTATTTTTTCCAACAACTCTTACAAATATTTACTGAAACAGCCCTTTCAGAAAGTGTAAAACTAGATATAAGTTTCAACGGTCCTTTATACGTATACGGTTAATGTGTTTTTGTTACCAAGGTTAATTCGAATTAATTGTAAATGATGCCACCAGGATTAAATGGGACCGTATACTTCAGAAAACCCCACCGTTTGCTTCCAAAAAATGTCTGCAACATTCGAGCTAAATACCAGCCATTAAAAGGCCGTCTTCATCTTCATTTGACAAGCTTCCCCCTCTCTATCAGATACAGATTGATGTCTCATTTACCCAGATGGATGCCATATCATCCCCTGATCTTGTCTTGCATTATCAAAGTTCACCACTGACAGTTCTCATAATGTCATGTTTTAACTGCAGCAGTGTGTCACTTTGTCAAAGGGACAACACAACACATCCTTGCTGGGATTCTGAAATTGACAGCCCCCTCCAAATGCACACCCTAATCAAGCAATTTCCCCAATTCCAGTCCCATCAAATTGCTCTTTAGCTGTTGAACTGGGGAGTTTTGTTGTCCTTTTCTAATGCTAATAGGTCCCATTCAGCATCTCTCTATGAGGCTATTTGTTGTGAAATAAATCCCCTTGTTTGCCTCCTGCATGTATAATTGATATTGTCGCCAGGCTTTTTGTTTGTGCTGTGGTGAGCTGAAAGGCGGTCCTTTTTGGAGGTGATGAAGAAAATGGGGCTTGCAACATTGCCGTTCCAGCTGAGCTCAGCTGAGGGTTGATGCCAGTGATCAACCTTTGTTGAATGTCATACCGTGCATTCGTGATCATATTCAGCAGATTACGGTTCACAACATAGATGACATTCACAACCACCGTTTTACTCACGATGCTCTCCCTTACTTTTGTGTATCCGGCAGAAAACTCATCAAGATGCACTGGCACCATGGGTGAGATTGCATCTAAAATAAAGACACTCCAATTAAGGTACATTCGAAAATGGTGAGTATGATGTCAGTCACTTTGCATAGATAAATGCACAGAAAAAAGCTCATAAATGATCCTCTCTCCTCTTCCACAATGTGTTCTTATCCGTTTCCTGAACAGCATTCATTTGAACTTTACAGTGAGTTATCTACAGTAGAGCTCCTTCTTAGTTCCAAAAACACAGACAGCCCAAAAAGGCACAAAACAATAACAGTTTTGATGATAGAGTACGTATAGCCTTTACAAGTGTTTATCAGTAAAAAAAGAAGAAGGTGCCGCGCATACATTTTTCCAAATCTTCCTGCATGAATGGCTGCACTGAAAATATTATTTTTCCCATTTGTAGTTTTCTACAGTGTTTCTGCCTGCTGCTCCTCTGAAGACATACAATGTGTATGGCCATTGATACGCCCTAACAGAGGTCACAATTTGCATGAGAATTAACAGCTAGTAAATTAAATTGATATTCAGTGCACATCTCCGTTGAATCCTTCAGACCTTTGTTCCCCTGCCTGGCAGAGCCCATGTTCAGCCCCTAGCTAGTCAGAAACATCTGTGCAGTTAATAATTTGATAAACAGCTTACACAAATGCTAAATTATCTCCCCTCCCTTTTTTCTTCCTCCCCTTGTGTGAGACTTGGAACAGTTGGCTCACCTCTCTGTGGTGTTGGGTTTATCTGTCTTTTGTGGCTGTTTCTTCCACAGCTCTGGTTTTCGTGGCTCTCCCTTCGCTCCTTTCACTATCACTTAGATACCGGAGCAGTATTTGCTGTTAATGCAAATCCTCAATTCTCATCTATGACGAAAGAAGGTGTAGGAGTTTAAAAATCAGTCAGAACGTTAGTTATTCATTTATAGTTTTTGTCTGGATAGCATTTACAAAAAAATGTTAAAAAGATCGGTGACATTTATCAACACGTTGGCTGCACATTTCAACATTTACAATCCCATTGTGTTTCCATCGAGTTGAAACCTATTGTTTAACCAGAACTCGGGTGACTCCCTGTGAAATTGCAAATTAAGGTCTGACATTTTATTATTTTTCTTTCCCAGAGAGCATTCTACATCAGAGTGCAAAAGCTTTCAAGTTCCATGTGTTAATTCAATGGTCACTTGTTTCTATAATTGGCTGATACCCCCAGCGAGAGAGAGTTGACCGGGCTTTTATAATCGTTTCAAAAAGTAGGCACTTGTAGTTGGCACAGGTATCGGTATTTTCACAAAGTTGTATTAAAAAGATGAAATGTGTCCAGATGATGATATTAGTAGCATCTGTTCAGAACCAGGTCTGATTTCAATTTTGCAAAATATCACAGTGTGCATACACGCATGTGCCGGCATACGGTTTTATTTGTATGTCTATGTTTTTCTGAGTGCATTTTTGTCCAAGAGAGGACAGCAATTAGTTAAGTGCTATCAAGTGGATGAAAAGCTGCAACAAATCCCCTTTATAATTTCATGGAAAAGAAAGCTTAGGAAATAGAACGGGGTGGAGGGGAACTAGTTTCCAATGCTTGCCTTTTCATTTGCAGGAAATCGAACACCAAGTGGCTGTGCTAAACTGTGTAAAGACGTGTTGTTTCTTTAAACTGTTTTTTGTAGATGTTGTCTCTTCCTCCGGTAAGGATGAGTGAGGAAGATCAGATTCAGCATGAAGCTGCACTTGTTGTTTATTTGAATAAACATCAAGGCCGTCTCGAGTGCCGTCTGAGAGCACAGTGCGTCAGTGTGGTTCTGAACAAAGACTGCCAGGTCTACTGACAGTGGCTTGTTGTTAGCACACGCACGCCTTGTGATGTCGTAGTTTGCAGAGTGGATTCGTTCTCTATTTTCTTACATTTCTTCATTCTTTCCTTTTGGACATCTGCCCGCTAGTCTCATCCAGACGTTTTTCCAATCATTTTCACATGCATTGCGGTCCGCGGGCACATCCTGTCAGTGGGCGAGAGAGACGGGAAGGAGAGGATCATCTCTCAGTTTGACAAGTCTGTGAGCCTGGAGTTTGACTGACAGCTGATAGCAGGGGCGGTGTGGTACACAGCGGCGAATAAGGGCAGCGGCGTGTGTGGTTGTTGTCAGATGATGAGATTCATGTGGGCTGGGCCGCTCGGGTCAGGCGTCTGACAGCCGGGGCTTAGTGTTTGCTCCAGTAGTGGGCCTGGTTGTTTACAACGATCCCTGGTCTTGTTAAGACTGTGCCCTTCCACCTCCATGTTTACCAACTCAGGCTCAGTGGCCCGGCTGTCAGGCAGCAGGTGACTTGCACTGACGTCAACCTATTGCTGAAGAAGAAGGTGGATCGTGTTGACTTTTTTTATCTCACTCTGAATCAGTATCCTGTGTGTTCAGCCCCCCCCCCAAAAAGAGCCAATCCGGTCCTGGATGGCCCATTTGACCCCCTTCTCCAGCAGAGGCCCACAGGGCACATGTCACATCCACATTAAGGCATTAGGGAATGCTTTATTTGTTTGCGCTCAGGGTATCCTCTCCTGTCTCTTCCGTGGGTCACACTCTGTTGTCACTGCCACTGCATATCATTGCCCTTATGTGGGCTTAGTGTTCCAGGTCAAATTATCCGTCGATTTGAACTGAAATTGGGAATGGCAGAGGCGAGGATCAGCCCGGGCCCAGGCCCTGTCCTCTGTATTAAGCCATCAGTGTTGTAAGGCGAGCTCATATAATGAACCCTGTCACCACTACCACCGCACCAATATCCCCCACAACACAGCGTGCATATTGATTGCAGATTGTGAGTGCGAGAACACGTGTGCATGTATGTAATGTATGTATGTGTGCGTGCTCGCGCAAGCTCACCTTTTTTTTTCTGGCAAGGAGCAAGGGAATCATGTTACTCTACGACTGATTAGAAAGCTCATGCATAGGAAATCACGACAGAGACACTGCTCCCCATCTGCCCGCAGTGCAGGTGAAAACAATTTACACATCGGCAGGCTAATGGACACATTCATAGGGAGCACAGACAGAGGGGAAAGAGGGATCAAGGGGGAGAGGGAGAGGAAAACGGAGAGAGAAAAGGAGAGGGCTTGTAATGGGCCCAGGCCGATGCAGGCCAGTGGCCCTGCTCACGCGGCCAAGCCAGATAGCAGCGTATCAGATAACACATAATCACCGGGGTCAGGGACTAATGAATGCGGTCGTGGCCCACCAGAGCAGGCTTTTGCCCGTGCTAAAGACACTTGTAAACAATTCGGCTGGGTGAAACATGGCAATAATATGTTGATTCAGCAGGTAATGAGGTTCTCCCTGAATCAATACCCCCGGCTAACCCTGCTCCCAGGTGGGCCAGTGAAGAGCAGAGAGCCAGGTTGGTGAGCGCACACCTCTGCCGATGACCTTTCCACGGCGGTAAGGACACGAGGCAGTCTGAAGAGGACTATTCTCGTATTGCACAAGGCGCTGAGTGTCAGAACTTTCATTCGCAGCAAGCAAATGAACAGGCAGGCGCTGCATGCTAATGAGTGGCAGGCTATTTTCCACCTTTTTTATCTGCACATTATGCTCTTGACTTTGGAGAAGGTGGGAATTAGGTTGGACCTCAGTGTCAGGCTGCCTGATGGCTCCGCTCAGGAAAAAACTGGTAATTGAAGCCGATGGCTGCCGCGGAGGAGGTCTGAATTTGGAAATAAACAGTTTCAAGCACTGCACGTCATTTCTAGAGAGA